GCATCTTTAAAGCAGAAAAATGGAGGAAACACCATTTGGTCAAGTAAAATTATCAACCTAGCTGTATTAAAACAACTATTGTCATTATAACATGAAAAAATGTGATACTCAAAGAGGAAAGCATTTAATTTGTTGAGGGAAAGGATTTTAATAGTTTCATTTTCTTACCCTCAGTTCTTCTGTGAACGTTGTAAGCAACAGGACCACTGATTGTAAATCCAACATAAAAGAACACATGGCCTGAGTTCCAGAGGCTGTCTTTTTGGTTAACATCCAACTTGATCTCTGTGCCGCCAAATGTTGCATACAGCCTGTAATTTCTCACCACCCCTTTAACCCTGAGAAGTTTGTCTTTGACTGTTGGATTTCTGAAAACATCGTCGTTCCTCCAGTTTGTTTTTGGGTCTTGCAGTGCATCTTGGGTCCACAAGATTTCAAGGTTGCGTCTGTGAACAAGTCTGTTCAGACCCTGACCCGGTCCAAGAAAAAATATGGGTCGAAGGTACCTTGACCGAAAGAGTGACTTATATTCTTGTTCATAGGAATACAGAATATTTTGGATTAAATGAGGGAGGTCAGAGGCCAATTTGTCTTCACCATCTGTAGGCCAACACAACAGCAGAGCTAACATGTGAAACTCGGGGTGCATCTCAGGAGCCAATGGCATTTTATCTGTAAAGCTGCTTTGGTAGTCGGAGCTGGACGGAGGTTCTTTCAGATTTATCAGCATGATATTGGCCAGAACGTAGTTGAGTAAGGCATGTGTAGCAGAATGTTTGTGTTGGCAGATTTCTTTCCACCATACAGCAATGTCCTTGGTGTCGGATCTAGTGCATCTTTCAAGACATGAAAGTACTCCCGGAGAAGTGACAGCCAGTTTCTGTTTAAGTTTGTGGAAGGCTTTCTGGAGTTGATCATTTGGTTCTGCATCTCCAACATACTTTTTGTAGCATTCTATTGTCTTTCTGGAAATGTAGGATGGATCTTCTTTCTTTACAACAGAATATGAATACGTTAAAAAAGTGTCAAAAAATTCAGATCTTTTCTCAACCAAATCTCTGAGGCTGTTTATTAGCTCCTTAAACCTGAAAAGTTTCTCATCTCCGAGGGATTTCAGGACAGAGCCCAGAGACACAGTCTTTGTGAGAACTTGCTTCCAAAGTTCATCATGTCTGATAAGATGGTCATACAACAGGCTGCAAACTTCCAGATAACCAAACAGCCCTCTGGTGTTTAAAGCACGCAAGACTTTTTTATTGCCATCTCCTTGTTTGCCTTTCATGTGTTCATTCTCAGCAAGTCGTTCCTCATCTTCAAAAGCTTCAATGCCTTTTTGGGCAAGCTGTAAAATTTCTCTTGGCTTGGCAGAAACCTTTAAGTTCTTCAGGTGGATCTTATGGACTTGGCCTAGTGTATCTGCAACATATGAACTCCAAGGTGCTCTCTGCTTTGCTTTTTTTGCCCAAATTTCTGCCTCATTGTAGTCTTCTATTTCTATATAATATAAACGAGCAAGAGTTTGTGGAAAAAGTGGGTTGTCATCAAATTTTTTTGAGGCCACCTTCAAAACTGACAGACTCTGACTTTTGCCTTTCTTTTTGTCATCATCTTCTGTCTTTGTAATATCTTGAATCAGTCTGGAAAACGTTTCTTTCTTCTCATTAATGACACCAGTTGGGTCCTCTATTATTTTAATTTCTCTTTTGGTTAGCATGTCTTTGACAAACCCAAGCAAACATGGAGGAACATAACTTTTGCAAAAACTGTTCAAGAAGTGTCTTGTTGTGTCACTTCTGGTCACACCTGCATCACCCAACTGTTCAGTACAACACTGAGCTATCATATTGTGAGCCATGCAAACCTTTTTTTCAGCTCTTCCGTCTTGTTGGAAGGTGACGATCAGATGACTGAAAGGCTGCATTTGATCCTCCAGTGAAAAGTCATCTTCATCTTCATGTCTGAGGAAGTCCAGGCACTGAGACTCCAGGAGATATGAACCTGGTACGTAGGCGTTCAGCAGACACAGGAAGGCAGCAAGCTGCATCTTCAGTGGCTTATTTGTTCTTTTGATATGTTCTAATGTAGCACATGCGTTCCTGATGTAGGCTTGAGAGAAATTAGACTGCAGAATGTTAAAACCATGAAACTGCTTGCACCGATCACCAAATCTTCTGCCAAGCTCTTCTTTTTTCATATCAAAGTCTGCTTGCTCTCTGTCTGAGAGAGCTTTTTTGAGAATAATAGATTTTCTCATTTTCGTCTTGAACTTTTGTTTCAGTTCATAAGAACGCGCCTTTTGGTGGATAATCCCGTCACTGCTTCTCACACAGTTCAGTAAAATTACTACAGGCAAATCAATTTCTATATCCTGTTCAGCAATCTCTTCCATAATCGTGTCCTGGAGGATGTCCAATATGAACTCATCATTTAGTAACAACAGTACCGTTTTCTGGTGGCCATGGCTACCAGCTGTAAAAAGGCTGACCACATGTTGCGCAACTTTTGTGATATCTAATGTTGAGCCTGTCAAAACAGCACATCTGAAGGTTTTCCTCAAGTCCCACAGCACCTGCATAGCTAGTGTGGTTCCCCCACATCCTTGTTGATGAAACAGTTTAATTGTTGATGTCCCAGGGCCTTTTCTTCTCAGGTGAATTTGTTCTTTAAGGGTTTCATATCCATCTCGTTTGATAAAAGGAGTTGCATTGCCATCTGACACTGCTTGTTCACTGATATAGAAGTTTAACCAGTTCGGTGGGGCCCCTCTGTAAAAGTTTTCCTCCACTTGCTCAGCGTGTTGAGGTTCAACAAACTCTCCTTCAAACTGATTGGCATGGAGGACATCCAAAAATGAGAAGGAATCACTGATTTTACTCCTTGCATCTGCTTCTCCACCTTCAGCAGTGGACAGGGCTGGTCTGTTTGCCATCTTCACACTTTCACTTTACTTCATGGTAATGAATGTAAAAACAAAACACAAACATTTGTTAGTCTTATGTCTTAGCTTAAACTATTTGTAATTTAGGTCCTACATTCACTTTATGGAATGTGATACATTTAAATAGCCATTTCATTGCTCGTCAATCACATAAAATAAATATAGCCTTCGCCATGTAAAGAACCAGACTTCAATTAAAACTTCCATTTGTCATTTGCAGATCTTAAGAGATTTTTCTTACCTTCTCCCAAATTACACGGACAGCTCTAAAGACCTGCTATTATGTGTGTGTTCAAGCACTGGGACCGTGAATGTGTCATGTAACCCGGAAGGTAGTCGTCACACCCAAAGCAGGTTGGGATAATCAGGTACAGACATGTACACATCTACAGTTTGAATGTTAGAGCAGTTCCAGTTTCAGAGTAGTTTAAAAAAAGGAATGAGTCAATTTAACAACACATTTTCTTCCTGGTTTTTAAAAAAAGCAGAGGCTACGCTTGACGTGTTCAGTCAATAAACACGTCAAGCTGGCATAAAATATTGCACAATCAGAAGCTAAAGATTGGAAATTTGCAAAATTGGCCAATAAAATAATAAAATATGTGATATATGTTAATATTGTCCTATTTTCAAACATTACCTACATTTGTTTAAAGGGCAGGGTGACTTCATTTGATTAGGAAATGCTTGTCACAACAGGAAATACTAAGGCTTTACTATGAACGGTTTAATGATGAAAGATAACAATTCTTTCTGCCTCTATTTCACTCTTGTGGCTGCTGTTCAGGTCTCAGTTTGCAATTAAACAGTCCTCGAGTATTTGGAAACATTTAAACAAATAAAAGGAGGGCATTAAAATACGTTGGGATGTAAGCAAATGTAAATAATCAATGAAGAGTGTTTGGAAGCGCATCAAAAAAAGAATATTTATGTGGCTTGATCACAGACAGTTCTCTATTATCCAAAATGTTTTTCACTCTCTTTTTCTGTCACATTCACTCTCTTTCACACAC